CTGGATTTTCACCTGCCATTTTGTGGCCCTGTCATCCAGTTTTGTGAGATCCCTCTGTATCTTTCTGCAGTCTGCTTTGGATTTAACTATTTTGAGTAATTTTTGATCATCTGCAAACTTTGCCACTTCACTGTTTACCCTTTTTCCAGATCATTTACGAATATGTTGAACAGGACTGGTTCCAGTACAGATCCCAAGGGGCCCTGGCCCCGTTACTTTTAAAAGTGAGAAGGCTCTGCCCTCCCACTTTTTACCAGCCATAAGGGCAAGTGACGGGGGTCAGAGGAATGAGCGGGGTGTTGGGGGGGGAAGAGGTGGTGCGGGAGCAGGGCTTTTGGGGAAGAAGCGGCAAAGGGGCAGGGGCTTAGGGAGAAAGGGCAGCGCGAGGGCAGTGGCTTGGGGAGAAGGGGCAACACAGGGGCTTAGCCTCTCGGGGAGGGGGTGTGGCCATGGTTTGGGTGCCCATGGCCCCCTCACTTTTACAGAGCTTCCGTCGCTCCTGGACCCTGCTATTTATCTTCCTCCATTATGAAAACTGACCCTTTATTCCTACCCTTTGTTTCCTATCTTTTAACCAGTTACTGATCATAAGAACGGCCGTACTGGGTCAGACCAAAGGTCCATCTAGCCCAGTATCCTGTCTACCGACAGTGGCCAATGCCAGGTGCCCCAGAGGGAGTGAACAGAACAGGAAATGATCAAGTGATCTCTCTCCTGCCATCCATCTCCACCCTCTGACAAACAGAAGCTAGGGACACCATTCCTTACCCATCCTGGCTAATAGCCATTAATGGACTTAACCTCCATGAATGTATCCAGTTCTCTTTTAAACACTGTTATAGTCCTAGCCTTCACAACCTCCTCAGGCAAGCAGTTCCACAAATTGACTGTGCGCTGTGTGAAGAAGAACTTCCTTTTATTTGTTTTAAACCTGCTGCCCATTAATTTCATTTGGTGGCCCCTAGTTCTTATATTATGGGAATAAGCAAATAACTTTTCCTTATCTACTTTCTCCACATCACTCATGATTTTATATACCTCTATCATATCCCCCCTTAGTCTCCTCTTTTCCAAGCTGAAAAGTCCTAGCCTCTTTACTCTTTTCTCATATGGGACCCGTTCCAAACCCCTAATCATTTTAGTTGCCCTTCTCTGAACCTTTTCTAATGCCAGTATATCTTTTTTGAGATGAGGAGACCACATCTGTACGCAGTATTCAAGATGTGGGCATACCACCGATTTATATAAGCGCAATAATATATTCTCCGTCTTATTCTCTATCCCCTTTTTAATGATTCCTAACATCCTGTTTGCTTTTTTGACCGCCTCTGCACACTGCGTGGACGTCTTCAGAGAACTATCCATGATGACTCCAAGATCTTTTTCGTGATTCGTTGTAGCTAAATTAGCCCCCATCATATTGTATGTATAGTTGGGGTTATTTTTTCCAATATGCATTACTTTACATGATCCATGAGAGGATCTTCCCTGTTATCCCATGACAGCTTTCTTTGCTTAAAAGCCTTTAGTGAGGAACTTTGTCAAAGGCTTTCTGAAAGTCCAAGTACACTTGTCCACATGTTTGTTGACCCCCTCAAAGAATTCTAATAGATTGATGAGGCATCATTTCCCTTTACAAAAGCCATGTTGACGCTTCCCTAACATACCGTGATCATCTACGTGTCTGAGAATTCTGTTCTTTACTATAGTTTCAACCAATTTTCCTGGTACTGATATTAGGCTTACCAGACTGTAATTGCTAAGTTCACCTCCGGAGCCTTTTTTTTTAAAAGTCAGCATTACATTCGCTATCTGCCAGTCATCTGGTAAAGAGGCTGATTTAAGCAATAGATCAGATACCACAAATAGTAGTTCTGCAATTTCATATTTGAGTTCCCTCAGAACTCTAGGGTGAATACCATCTCGTCCTGGTGTTACTGTTTAATGTATCAATTTGTTCCCAAACCTCCTCTCTTGACAGCTCAATCTGGGATAGTTCCCGCAGATTTGTCACCTAAAAAGAATGGTTCATATGTGGGAATCTCCCTCACTTTTTTTTTTGGACCCTCTGACTGTTTTTTGTATTTTAATTTGGTTATACTTATAGTTTGAGCCTCGATTATGGTGTTTTTAAAAAGTTTCCATGCAACTTGCAGACATTTCACTCTTGTGTCTATTCCTTTTAATTTCTGTTTAACTAGTCTCCTTAATTTTGTGTAGTTCCCCTTTTTGAAGTTAAATGTTAATGTGGTGGGTTTCTTTGGCATTTCCCCCCCTACAAGTATGTTAAATTTAATTACATTATGGTCATTGTTACCAAGTGGTTCAGCTATATTCACCTCTTGGAACAGATTCTGTGCATCACTTTGGATAAATCAAGAATTGACTCTTCCCTTGTGGGTTTCTAGACTAGTTGCTCTAAGAAGCAGTCATTGTTGATATCTAGAAATTTTATCTCTGCATCCTGTCATGAGATTACATGTTCCCAGTCAATACGGGGATAGTTGAAATCCCCCATTATTAATTATTAATTAATAATTATTACTAGATTTTCTGTTTTTGTAGCCTCTCTAATCTCCCTGAGCATTTCACAATAACCATCACCATCCTGGTCAGGTGGTTAATAGTATATTCCTAGTGCTATATTCTTATTCAAGCATGGAATTTCTATCCATAGAGATTCTATGGTATAGTTTGATTCATTTAAGATTTTTAATATATTTGATTCCATGCTTTCTTTCACATATAGTGCCACTCCCCCACCAATGCAATCTGCTCTGTAATCGTATATATTTTGTACCCTGACATTACAATGTCCCATTGATTATCATTCTTCCACCAAGTTTCTGATATGCCTATTTATCAATATCCTCATTTAACACCAGGTACTCAAGTTTACCCATCTTAGTATATAGACTTCTTGCATTTGTATACAAGAACTTATAAAATTTGTCAATATTTAGTTGTCTGCCTTCATCTGATGCAATTGAATGGGACTCTTTTTTGTTTGACTGTTTCTCTTCAGTTCCTACCTATACTTTATCAACTTCTATCCTCTCCTCTTTACTGGGATATAGAGTATCCCTTTAATAGATCCTCCCCTACAGAATGTGTCTATCCCAGCTGTTTACTTCTCTGCATCTGTCAGCTTTATCCCTACCCTCAGTTTAAAAAGTCCTCTACGATCTTTTTAATTTTACATGCCAGCAATCTGGTTCCATTTTGGTTTAGGTGGAGCCCATCCTTTCTGTATAGGCTCCTCCTTTCCCAAAAGGTCCCCCAATTCCTAATAAACCTAAATCTTTCTTCCAAACACCATTCATTCTCTCATCCTCGTATTGAGACCCTGTTGTTCTGCCTGTCTAACTGGCCCTGCGCATGGTACTGGACACATTTCAGAGAATGCTGCCATGGCTGGACTTAATCTCTTACCTTGCAGTCTAAATTTGGCCTCCAGTATCTCTTTTCTACCTTTCCCTATGTCACTGATACCTACATGTATCATGGCCACCGGCTCCTCCCCAGCACTGCACGTAAGTCTGTCTAGATGTCTCGAGAGGTCTGCAACCTTCGCATCCGGCAGAAAATTCACCATGCAGTTCTCCCGGGCATCACAAACCCAACTATCTATATTTCTAATAATCAAATCCCACATTAATATTACCTGTCTCTTCCTAATAACCATGGTCCCCTCCCCTGGAGAGATATCCTCAGTGTGAGAGGATACCATGACATCATCTGGAAGGAAGGTCCCAGCTCTGGGATCATTTCCCTCTGCTCCAGCTTGATGTTCTCCTTCCCCAAGACGTTCATCCTCCTTAGCAGCACAGAGCCTGTCAAACTGGGGGGTGGGATCGCTGTGCTGTGTCCCTGGAAATCTCATCTATGTACCTCTCTATCTCCCTTAGCACCACTAGTTCAGTCACTCTGGTTTCAAGAGCCCATATTGGGTCTCTGAGGACCATGAGCTCTTTGAGCCAAATGCACACGTATACCACCTGCCCACAAGACAGATAATCGTTCATGTTGCATTCAGCGCAATAAATTGGGTAGCCCCCACTCTGCTGTTGGACTTCTGCCTGCATTCTTTTTACTTTTGCAGGGTTTGGTTTGTTCTTGGGGGGGGGGGAGCATTATTGGCCTAAATTTAGAGAATGTTTATTAGGTGTATCTGGCTCTCACGGACCCTTCAAACTCTCCCACCAAATTCTGTTTGCTGCTCCTCTGGGGACTTAGCCGGCTTCTTAAACCCCTGTTCTCCCTGAATTAGTCCCAGCCCCTTGCCAACCGACCCTAAAGGGGTCAAAAGATGGCAGGCTAGAGCATCCCTAGGAAGCTCTCAGCCTTGCCTAGCAGCATCAAGTATAAAGCGAAACTTCTTGAAGGATTGACCCTGCTCCAGTTATGTTGTCGATGCCATAAATAAAGGAGTCCCACCTTACACCCAAAGTCACGCCCTTAATGGGAAGGCAAAAGCTCAGATGGAAGTCTCCAGGGGGAAGTGTCAGATCCCAGCTAACACCTTGTTTCCTGGTGCCCCCTGTTCACCACCACCCCTGGTAGGACAATGTAGGTATGTGGGGGGCACTGCTGGGCGCTGGCTGTCCCCGCACTGAGGCAGAGCATAGCCGCCCCCTCCCTATGCCCCCTTCCCTGCCTTGGCCCTGCAGCTGCAGGGCTGCCTCAGCCGGCTGGGGATGGGTGCTGGCAGACGGGGGGGCCGGCTCAGGCGTGGGGGGTCAGGTTCGGGGGGGCTAAGGTTCTGGCAGCGGGCAGGTTTGGGGGGCTCGTTCTGAGAGGACAAGTTGGGGGGTGCAGGTTCTGGCAGCGGGCAGGTTTGGGGGGCGCAGGTTCTGGCAGGGGGCAGCTTTGGGGGGGGTGGTTCTGAGGGGGCTAGTTGGGGGGCAGGGTTGGGGGGGCCCGGGGGTGGGGGGGGGGGGGGGGAGGGGGGGGGGGGGGGGGGAGGGTTCGGGGGGTCCCCCAACCCACCCCTTACTTACTCCTCGTGGCCCTTGCAGAGGAAGAAGAGCGTCCGCCAGGCCTGCGCGGCGGCCAGCAGCAGCGAGAGCAGCCCGGCGAAGACGCTGAAGCGGCAGGCGGCCGGGGGCCCCCACTCCTGCACGGTGAAGCGCTGCCGCTCCGCCGTCAGGTTGGCGCTGAGCCACATGCCCTCGGTGAAGAGCAGGCAGCGGCCGCGGCAGTCGTTGCTGTTCTCGGACAGCGGCACCACCACCACGAAGCTGCAGAGGAAGGCCAGGAAGTAGCCGACGCACTGGGCGAAGAGCAGGTTGCTCAGCGCCATGGCGGCAGCCGGGCCCTGGGGCGGGAGCCTGCCGCAGCCGGCCGGGAGGCGGGGAGCAGGGGGGAGGAGGCGCGCTGGGGACCCCTCCTCCGGGCTGAGCGCAGGAGGCCGGGAGCCGCGGCCAGGCTGCGCCGCCCAGCTCCGCAGCGAGCCCAGCCTCTTCTCCTAGGCCCCCCGGGCTCCGGCGCAGCCGCCCCTCCGGCCCGTGTCTGCTCCCCACCCCCGAGACTCCAGGCCGGCAGAGCAGGTGTAGCCGCTCCCCTGGCGCCGCTGGCAGCCGGAGCCGGCCTCCGCCCGGTGCAACGGGGCTGCAACCCCCGGTCTGCACCCAGCCGGCGTAGGGCGCTGAGCCCTGCAGATCCCTCTGGCTGAAAGGAGCCGGTGTCTAGCCCCAGCCTTGTGCGCCTCCAACACCCAGCCCCTGCTGGTCCCAGCCCAGCTGAGCCACCTACACCCAGCACCTGCCGCCTACCAAAGGTGGGCCCTGACCGCTGCCCCGACCCACCCAAATCCTGTACGTGGAGAACAGGTCTCGCCGCTCCTTGCGTGCCTACCAGGCCGGCCCCCCGGCACGAAGACTTGGGGCCCCCCGGCACGAAGACTTGGGGCCCAGCAGCTGACCTGCTCTATTTTCAATCCCTAACCCCACGGGTCTGGCCATTAAATAGAGGGAAATTGCCTCTGCTCCACTCCCACAGCAAAAATCCAGCTCCCTATTCAGTAACAGTCCGGAGCGCGTGTTCAGCACCTACCGCCTGCTGGGGGTTACCAGGTTCAGGCCTTTCGTAACCAGACCCTATCACCAAAACAGGCAACACCTGTTGACGCTTGTCCTGGACGAGAAACAATCCGGACTCCAACACATCCCACTGCAAGAGCAACAGCAATGCAAATACCTCGAGCTGACACCTGGGCCATGATGGATGGAGCAGATATTTTGGCCATAAACCACTACATTTGACTGCATAAATACACACGCCTAGTCCACTATAAAACCCAGTCCCTGATACATCCTGGCACATAAGCACTTGAAAACTCCAACAAACTCCAACCCACTTTTGTTGTTTTATAAGGGGACATGCAATGGGGAGCAGCTGCCGCTTTTCTCTATTTAACTGGTAGAATTTGGGGGTGTGAGCTAGAAAAACGTACTGGACCAAGCAGGAGCCAGGTACCACACTGAAGTTGCAGTAGTATCACCAGGGTGCATCAGGGTCCCGATATTTTTAGCCCAGAAGGAGCAGCTACACTTGTTTTCTGGCTAGGCAGCGGAATTGGGGAGATTAGGACCAAAAACTGGCAGGATCCAGTTGCTGGACCCAGCCGTTCTGCCAGGAAGGGCGGGGGTTTGAAGTGTTTTGGTGCCGGGGGAGCTGCCCTAGGGGAAAAAGATAAAAACAGCATCGGCTATAGGGCAAGCTCACATCAGCACCAGGGACAGCTCTGCTGCTCCGCATACGAGCCACTGCAGAACACGTGGGCCTCACATACAGACAAGAGCCAGCTTCGTGCCCGGATAAACCCCAAAGAGCCCCTCACAGGGAGAGATTAAAGAGGAGGCCACAGGCCTGTATCACAGGCCTGATTCTGCAATTCCTTATACTGCATGTGTCAGCTCAAAATCACTTTGGTGGAGTTACTGCTGAATGACACTGTAAAAGGGTACAGGATCTAGCCCTGTAGGGATGAAGCTGGTCTCATTACATCCATTCTGCACTGGCCTAGCTTCATCAACGCTAGTGGAGTTATGCCAGATCAACACTGGTGTGAGAGAGAACAGGATCTAGCTCTGTGCATTTCAACTGCACTCCCACTATATTGTGTGCATTATTACTTATTGATTTCCAAATAAATCTCTGTTGGATCAAAGGTGTTTTCCCAGGATTTGAGTACACGCTACTCATCACCTACCACAGGCAAGGGAAAATTAAAAAACAGATTAATTAAGATTAGAGGAAAGTATCTTCAGTCTGACCTTAAACATCTGAAGGGGCTCACGTGGAGCTGGATCGTAACCTGGCAATGCCATCTGAGGAGGATCCATGCATAGCCCCAGTGTACATCTGTGCTGCCTTAGGAGCAGGGCTGGACTCTGACTGGTCCCTGTTTCCCTCTTGCTATCTGCATGAGCCCTTTTCCTCACACAGCATACTGCCCCCTGTGGGACAGCTCAGCTGTGCTGGGTGAAACATAAACTCCACTGACCCTCCACTCCCCTGGTCACCAGCACAGGAGGAAAGTAGTAACCTAGCAGCAGCTGCTCTCCCTCCTTCCCCTAGTCCCCCTGTGCAGACTATGGCAATGTAGCAAATCACATGCAGGAGGTAGGGGCTCCCTTACACCTCCTTATGCCTTTGTGTGGTCATGCAACCATTAATCTCCAGTGAGCCCATAGGGATCATCCAAAACCCATTTGGAAGGATTCTCATTGACTTCAGATGAGAACCTGATCTGCACAAGTCTGTGCCAGCATAAGGGGGAGGGTAAGGGCAGTGCACAGCACAGCAGGGCTGCAAGGAGACACCACAGGTAGCAAGATTTCATTCATCTTCTTCAGCAAATTGCTGTCCTGTGCACACACGCTACTCCCCTTCTCACACCGACTCATCCCCCATTCCTACTTCCCAGAACACAGATCACTCCAAGCCCAGCTCATCCTAAATCACGTCACACCTAATCCCAACTCATTCCCCATTTCAACTCACCTCCTAATCTCCACGCATCCCCACAACATAGATCACCCCTAAACTCATCTCCTCCCAAATCACAGATCACACCAATCCCAGTTTATCCCTACAACACACATCATCTCTAATCCCTTCCGATCTCATCCCACATCTCAACACCAAGCATGCATCATGTCACTTGTGTTTGGTGGAGGAAGAGACTGACAGTGGGCCTCGTTACACTAGATGAAGGATCTGGGACCTCAAATTTAGGTATGCAGCAGCCATTTTGCTAAAATACAGTTATTTCTCTACTCTTATGTGAGCCGCTGTCTCAAGCAGCACTGGTGAATTTCTTAGCAAATATAGCTGCTACTTACTCAAGTGTGTATAACCGTATCAGCTTTAGGTAGAGGTGCATGCTGATTGGATTTCCATTGAATAAATGAATTCATTCATATTGTAAATCATATCCATGCAGTATTACCTTAAAGTCTTTCTCTGCACTAGTAGGGAAAGAATATTTCTTGTATAGGCCCCTGTGAAAAATGAAGGGGGGATGGTAGCTCCCTTTTATGGACACCCAGCCAGCCAGTTAGCTATAAAATTCCTCTTAGTAGCTGTTCTCTACTTGCTTTACCTGTAAAAGGTTAACAAGCCCACAGGTAAAAGGAAAGGAGTGGGCACCTGACCAAAAGAGCCAATAGGAAGGCTAGAACTTTTTAAAATTCGGAAAAAACTTTCCCTTTGTGTCTATTGTTGTTTTCCGGAGAGCAGAGACACAGAGCAGCAATGCTGTAAGCAGCTTTAAAACCAGGTATGAAAAAGCATCAATTCATACCTCGGACCTATTTATCTGAAACCCCAGATGTGTAAGTAGATGAGGAATGTCTAGAAAGACACAATTAGGTTTATTTCTTTTATTTTGTAAGGCTTGTGGACTCCTCTGTGCTAACCCCAAATGCTTTTGTTTTGCTGTAACCTTTAAGCTGGACCTCAAGAAGGGTATTCTTGATGTTTTTTAAATCTAGCAAAAGCCAAAGTTCCAGATGTATTTTCTTTCCTTTTGTTTTAATAAAATTTACCTTTTTAAGAACAGAATTGGATTTTGGTGTCCTAAGAGGTTTGTGCATGTTGTTTAATTAGCTGATGGCAACAGCTAATTTCCTTTGTTTTCTTTCTCAGCTCTTTCCTGGAGGGGGGTGAAAGGGCTTGAGGGTACCCCACAGGAAGGAATTCCCAAGTGCGCCTTCCTGGGTTCCAAAAAAGGGGTTTTGCATTTGGGTGGTGGCAGCATTTACCAAGCCAAGGTCAGAAAAAAGCTGTAACCTTGGGATTTTAATACAAGCCTGGAGTGGCAAGTATTCATTTTTAAAATCCTTGTGGGCCCCCACCTTCTGCACTCTAAGTGCCAGAGTGGGGAATCAGCCTTGACAGCTGCAAATACCCTTGTTGTAGAATAGAAACTTTGTTCAAAAAGTCACTATTTGATGAGAGGTGTTAGGCATTTTTTCTGACTATTAACAATCTCTGACCCTCAAATATATTATTTCAATTTTGTATGATGAATTATGGAGCCCTGGCCTGGCCATTTGGGAACAGAGAAGTCGCCAAAGTGGTCTCTTAGTAGACAAGAATTGGTTGATATTTCAGTGTAGGGATGAGCCAGAAAGTTTATTGCTGCTAACCTCTATTTCAAGCAGAGCTAGGTTCACAGAGTTTTCTCCTCACTCTGTCTGGAAGGAAATAAGACCTGGATTCATAGATTCTAAGGCCAGAAGGGACCACTGTGGTCATCTAATCTGACCTCCTGTATAACACAGGTCATATGAGTTCTCTGAATTAATTTTCTATTCAAACTAGAGTATATCTTTTAGAAAAACATGTGATCTTGATTTAAAAATTGCCAGTGATGGAGAATCCACCACAACCCTTGGTAAGATGTTCCAATGGTTAATTATCCTCACTGTTAAAAATGTGCACTTTCTTTCCAGACGGAATTTGTTTAGCTTCAGCCACTGGATCTTTGTCTGCTAGACTGAAAAGCCCCATGTTTCTGTTCTCCATGTAGGTACTTATAGACTGTGATCAAGTCATCCCTTAACCTTTTCTTCAATCAGCTAAATAGCTTGAACTCCTTGAATCTATCACTATAAGACATGTTTTCCAATCTTTTAAACCATTTTCATGGCTCTGTCTGAACCCCCTCCAATTTATCAACATGGACAGAGCTGGCAAATTCCTTTTTTGAAACTGATATTGCACATCCTTATGGCATTTTCTGAAATTAACTTGGCTATCAATGCCAACTTCAAGCTCAATTGTTGCTTACAG